ACCCGCCTGCGCCAGCGCCCCGACGGCCGCCGCGCGCCGCCGCCGGGCCCCGGAGGCCACCATGAAGAAGGAGGTGTGCTCCGTGGCCTTCCTCAAGGCGGTGTTCGCAGAGTTCCTGGCCACCCTCATCTTTGTCTTCTTCGGTCTCGGTTCGGCCCTCAAGTGGCCGTCGGCACTGCCCACCATCCTGCAGATCTCCCTGGCCTTCGGCTTGGCCATCGGCACCCTGGTCCAAGCCCTGGGGCCGGTGAGTGGAGGCCACATCAACCCGGCCATCACCCTGGCTCTCTTGGTAGGCAACCAGATCTCGCTGCTCCGGGCTGTCTTCTACGTGATAGCCCAGCTGGTGGGTGCCATTGCCGGAGCAGGCATCCTTTACGGAGTGGCACCGACAAATGCCCGGGGCAACCTGGCCGTCAACGCGGTGAGTGCCCATCCCACTGAGGGAAGGGTGGGCAGGACCCCTGGGGTGTGCTCAGGACCAGGCCCCAACGCCCCAGCTTGAGAATGGGTCAGCTGAGTGAGGCACGCACACCCTTGCCAGGAAGACCAGGCAGATGAATCTCCAGCTGACTTGTGCCCCCCAAGCCACCCTACTTCACGTCTGTCTCCTTTGTCCCGTCCCTTCACTCTGGTCTCATCTTTGAGTTCGCCTTCCTCTTGAGCCCCTGCCTCTCTTGTCTGCCCTAGTGGAGCAGTTCTCATGGAACGGCCAGAAAAAAAACAGTTGCAGTCCCGGTGCTTCATTCTTACCTTATTTTATTTATTTACTTATTTATGCCTCCCCCACCCCCCGGTACCGGGAATCAAACTCACAACCTTGCACTTGCCGGGCAGGTGCTGTGCCACTGAGCTAAATCCCCAGTCCCTATTTTATTTATTTTTGAGACAGGATCTTGCTGTGTAGTTCAGGCTGGCCTTGAACTCACTATGTAACCCAGGCTGACCTTGAACTCGCAGCAGTCCTCCTGCCTCAGCCTCCCAAGTGCGGGGATTACAGCCATGTGCCAACAGTGAGCTCTGTGCTTCACTCTTCTTGGCCAGGGCACCGGGGTGGTCAAACCACAACAGGTGTCGTAAGGATTACAGTTCGATGTGAACCGCCAGTGTGGTGCCAGTGCAGAGTGGTCTCTGTCAGATACTGGTTCCCTCTTTCCTCACCCCTCTGCCCCCTCTCTGCGGCCTCCCCCCCTGCAGCCCCAGGCTCAGCCCCGTCCCATGCAAACTGGGTTCATTAATCAAATACAGAGGAGGGTTCTCATGGCCATTGTCAAGCCATGAGTCAGCCACACTGGAGAGACGGGTTTGAGATTGGCACCAGCAGCGGATCGGGCACGGGTAGGAGGCTGGGGGCAGTTTGCAGTAGGCAAACTGGGCAGCTGCCCACAGGAGGGAGGGTAAATGCCAGCCTGTGGGGGGTGGGGATTGGGCAGAGCTGTTGACAGGACTGTATCCAAGAAAGGTCCCTAACACTCTGCCCTTTAGCCACAGCCTGAGCTTCACGCTTGTATAAACTGCGAAGTACGCAGCCTTCCGCGCATGGCCTCTCTGAGGTGGCGCACGCAGGGTTGGCTCCAGGTGCTCAGACTCCAAGTGTCCTCCTTGGAGGCCCAGAGCCTGATCCTGCAGGCCGAGCCACACAGCCGGAAGCAGCTGGGGGCCTAACCCAGCCTCCCCTTGCAGCTCAACAACAACACCACGGCGGGCCAGGCGGTGGTGGTGGAGCTCATCCTGACCTTCCAGCTGGCACTGTGCATCTTCGCCTCCACCGATACGCGCCGCTCCAGCCCTGTGGGCGCCCCAGCCCTGTCCATTGGCCTTTCTGTCACGCTGGGCCACCTTGTGGGGGTGAGTGGTGCTGACCCATGGCAGGAGTGCCACTTGGGGGAGCCACTCAGGGCAAATAAAGGAGACCCCAAGCAGCACCCGCTCCAGACTGGTGGGTCTCCCAGCAGAGTTCAAGACTCAGTCTTACGGCTGCTGGACTCCGGCCCTACTGGGCCCAGACAAGCTCCTGCCAGACCTCCTGGGCAACGGAAGGAGAGGAGTAGGGGTGGGAGGAGAGGAAGACATGGGTAGGGTCCATGGTTGAGTGGACAGTGGGATCCATGGAGGAAGAGGCCACCAGCCTAGGACTCGAGAGATTTGAGTTTGAGACCTGGCTGAGCGCCTGGACTTCTGCGTGATCCTGGGAGAGTCCAGCTTCCGTGGGAGTGGTGGGGACGTGGCCCCTCACTGCCGCTCCTGGTCTATCCAGATCTACTTCACTGGCTGTTCCATGAACCCAGCTCGCTCCTTTGGCCCTGCAGTGGTCATGAAACGGTTCAGCTCCTCGCACTGGGTGAGTCTGAACCCTCCTCTGACTCCTTAGAAATGCGGGCTTGGAAACCCAGCCATGGCCCGGGAGAGCCACATGGCCTTTCCGGATGCGGCGGGGTTCCTGTGGACCCAGACCCCCGGGCAGTCTGTCACCGCACTTCATAGCTTGTGGCCGTTCCTCCGGGGCTGTCAGTGCGCGGGGCAGATCTTGTCCGTCTCTGTCTGAGGATCTGTAGTCTGTCCCTTCTGAGAGTTTACATGTCCCTCCTTAGAGCAGGAGAGGAGGGCTTGCCCTGTGGGATCTGTCCGCCTCCTCTGTGGGTCTCTGATCCATGTTGATCCCTGGATCGTGGAGGGGTCAGGATGTCTGTCCGCAGGGTGGGAGGAAATCTTTCCTTCTGGAGGCCTGGAAGGCTACACGTCCATCTCCTCCAAGGGTCTGTGGGTCTGTCTTCAGGCAGGAGGTGGGGAGTCGTGGTCCCTGCAGCCTGGGGCTCGTCCTCTAATGGCTACCGTGTCTCTCCCAGGTGTTCTGGGTGGGCCCCATCGTGGGGGCTGTGCTGGCTTCCATCCTCTACTTCTATCTGCTGTTCCCCCACTCCCTGAGCCTCAGCGAGCGTGTGGCCATCGTCAAGGGCACCTACGAGCCAGAGGACGACTGGGAGGAGCAGCGCGAGGAGCGCAAGAAGACCATAGAGCTGACTGCCCACTGACCAGCGTCAGGCAGGGCGGAAATCACAGGCAAAGAAGAAGAAAACAATGACAGCAGAGCTTCCTTCCCCACAGCTGGTTCTCTTGGCTGGGGAGGGGGTGCCGGCTCCCCAGGCTGCACAGTTTGAGATGGCAGCAGGAACCAGGATGGGATGCTCTGGGAGGGGCCAGAGCTGGAGTCTGGTGGGGACCAGGTTTTTCTGGCACAGGGAAGATTGTACTATTGGAATGTCAGACGTCAGAAATTAGAAAGGCAGTGCCAAGCTCACATGCTGCCCTGGCCAGGCCAGAAAGGGGTCGCTGTGTCTGCTTCCCCACCCTCCCCAACCCCTCAAGACCTAGAGCCAGGTTGTGGGGGCCAACGCAGGCCCCCCAGAGCACCTCAGCAGGGAGACAGGCTGCTTCCTTGAATGCCACCTTATTTATTTTTGGACAGGGATGCTTGGAATGGGGCTGCTGGTGTTTGGGTTGGGGATTCCCAATAAAACACTGATCCTCATGTTCTGCCTCCATTTCTGCCCAGAAGCCTCTTGAGGTGCTCGGGCCATCACCTCTCTTCTTCCTTACCACATCCTCCTCCGTAATCTACACAGGGTACAGAGACCCTCCCAAGACAACTTCTCTGTGTGAAGAAAGGGGAGCCGAGGCCAAGGGAGGCTGAGGGGGTGAGAGAGACAGGGAGGGCCCGCGAGGAGGGCCACATACCGTGGACCTCGGCTCACGAACTTAGCCTGTTCCACGATTGTGGAAAAGGCGGCCACATTTAGAAATGGGACTAGAAGCCAGGAAGGAGGCGGCGGGAGCAAGAAGGAGGCGTCCTCACCGTGTCCTATGCCCCAGCCTCTCCCCTGGCCCCTCAGCTATGTGGAGTTCTGCCCCTCGAGGAGGGCCTGGCGCCTCCAGAGCGTACCAGGCAGAGTGAAGGAGAACGGAGCAGCCCCTTGAGATGCCAAAGGGGTGATCACACAGGTTCTGCCGGGCGGAGGACACAGCCTGAGCTCTTCTCTGCAGCTCAGCGTCGAAAGGGTGACACGCGGCGGCTCCGTCTCAGGAGCGCCCCGTCCCCTCGCACAGGGCACAGGCTGCGCCCCGCCCGACCCTGCCTGCTCGCCTGCTCGCCTGTCAGGCCCCGCCCGACCCTGCCTGCTCGCCTGCTCAGGACCCTCTGCCCGCCGAGCCTCCATCTCTTGTGAAAACGCTTCCCTCACGGGGCGCTTGTGAGGGTCGAGCGAGGGGAAGGAGCCCGCCGCCCGGGACCGGCGGGGTCTCGGAGGCCAGGGCGGAGCCACACGACGAGCCCTCCGGCAGAGTCCCTCCTGCAGGCCGCGGCCCCGCGTTCAAATCCGCCGTGCGACCCTGGGTGACTCGAGCCCTCGGCTCCAGCTGACGGGTGAGGCAGGGAGGCTCTCACCGCCATCCGGGCTGCTGCGAGGACGGGCGAGCCGGGGTGCCGCTGACCCGAGCGGACAGCCTGGAGTGGAAGCGGCCGCAGCGCGCACGCCGGCCTGCGCTCCGCCTGCCCCTGCCCGCCCGGCCTGCGCTCCGCCTGCCCCTGCCCGCCCGGCCGCGCCTGTCTGCGGCTCCTGTCGGTCTGCTGTGGGACTCCCTCCCCTCGGCCTTCAGCTCGCCTCTGAGCAGGAGGGACCGGCAGGTGCTCCGGCCCGGGGCGAGAGCAGAGCCATCCCCGGCCGGCGCGAGAGGCCCACCGGCCCCACTGTGCAGGTGTCTAGACATCTGCGAACGGGAGCCGCACCCCGGCCGGCCGGCCTCGCAGGCTTGCGGGTACCGCTCCGTGGCCCGGTACGCGTGCGGGGCCCGCGGGAGCCCTCGCTCGTAGCCGCCTCCCGCCCTGTCGCCCCGCGTCTTCCCACTTCTGCGACCTGCCCGGGCTGCCCGGAGCCAGGCTGCGCGCACCCCCGCCGGCCAGCAGGGGGAGACCTCGTCCGCCGAATCCGCAGCCTGCGCTCCCCAGCTCCGGGGCTGGCCCGCAGCCGGGCAGGGGCCGCGCCCGCGAGCGGGGGCGCAGGGAGTCTCGCGGCTTGGGTTCCCAGGGGCCACAAAGGAGTAGCCCGTCCCTAGTACACCGCAGTACCCCGGAGCAGGTGCCGAAGGGAGGAGAGCGCCCCCCGCATGCTCCCCCAAGCTGCAGAAGACTCGGGTGCCGGCGCAGTGGTGACCCGGACGCCGCCTCCTCCCGCCAGCGCGGGGGCTTTTGTTCCTTTCTGTGACGGGACCCAAAGTCCATCGGGACACAGTGAACGGTGGCTCCATGGGGAACAGACCCTCGGGGTGCGGAGACACGCTGTGAGAGGGAGTTAGAGGCCTTGGGTTCCCTGCAGATGCCTGGCCGGCCTTTGGGCAACGGTCAAACGAGGGCTCCGGGCGGACAAGTTGCAGAGGGCGGGCTGGTGGCCAGCAGG